CTCCCCAGAGCGGGAGGGGAGGGGCGGAGGCCCCGCGGGGCGAACCAACCCCCCTCCCCCGGGAGGTGAGCAGAGGGACCTGGCGGACAGCTCCTCGCGGGGAAACGGAGGACAGGGGCTCTTGCAGCAGGACTCCCAGTCCCCCCACGGCCCTCACCTGTGAGCACCCCCGCCGTCAGGTAGAGCTCCAGGAGGCGCCGGGCGAAGGAAGCCAGGACCATGCCCGCCGAGGCCAGCAGCCCGCCCACCAGCATCACCGGGCGGCAGCCGAAACGGGCCACGAGGACGCTGGACACCGGGCCTGCGGGCAGGCAGAGTCACGCTCGGCTGGTCTGCTCTCCTCTCGGGTGGACACACGCCAGGCCCTGCACCCCCAGCCCTGGAGGAGGCTGGGAGATCAGGTCACCCGTGGCGCGGGGACCCCCGGGGCACACAGCTCGGCTGGGACACGCCCAGGAGACAGCGCCCCGCAGGGACTCAGGGGGAGGGAGGGACCTGTCCTGGCCCAGAGCCCCCTCCCCACCCTCCAGAGAACACGGAACCCAACGCGGGAAGGGCAGGCCCACCCCCTTATCTGCACAGCCCGGGGCGTGGGCGGCCTCCCCTCTGGCCGCTGCCCCTTTCCTGTCCTCGCCTCCCCGCTCCGGGGTCCCTGCGCCGTCCGAGGCGCCCCGTGGGCGCCCACGGGGTCCGGCACCTGCGGGTCCCTAACCCCCCGCAGCCCGGGCGGCGCTGACCGGTGCCGTAGAGCATGGCGAGCATGATGGAGGACACCCAGGCCGCGTCGCTGTAGCCCGCGCCGAAGTCGCGCATGAGCGCGCGGAAGAAGACGCTCACGGCCTTGGGGAAGCCGTAGGCGAAGCCGGTGACCACGAAGCAGGCGCCCAGCACCGCCCAGCCCCAGCCGCCGTCGGGGGGGCCCTCGCCTCGCCGGGGGCCGCCCGTGCCCATGGCCTCTGCCTCTGCTGGGGGAAGAGGAGACGAGAGGGAGCAGCCAGGGTGTCACCCAGACCAGGGGGCAGGGAGACCCAGCCTGGGGAAACTGAGGCACCGGCCTCCCCACCGGAGCCCTGCGCAGGGAATGAGGCCAAATTCCCGCCTCCCGGGGGCACGTGAGGGAGGAGGGGGGACAACAGAGTCGGTCCCACCTGAGTCCTGACTTCCGGAAGGCTCTATCCGGGGGGCGCCCCTTGCTCTTCAGGGCCTGGTGGCGGCAGGAGAGGGGGTGCTGGTGAGCGGGAGAGCCTGGCAGCCAGCGTGTGCCTGGCAGTGTGGTGTCCCCAGCGAGCATGTCTGATGTTGGACAGAGGAACAAGCGGGAGGGGGGGAGGGGGGAAGAGACAGGCACCAGCAGCGAAATGGGCCGTGATTCCCCCCTTGGCCTGTGGTATGTCCTAATTCCTCAATGACCAGAGTGACTATTGTCATTGGAATATTATTGGGGGGGGGGGACAAGAGTGCGTGTAGACAGAGCATTAGCCTCGTCTCGGAAGCCAAGGGACCCGAGTTCCAGCTCAGCCAGCTCAGCTATGGCTTGGACAGGCCCCGCCCCTGTGAGCCTCAGTTTCCCCACCTGTAAGATGAGGGATTGATCACCCCAGGCCAGCAGGGACTCTTGGGGTGGGGTTAGAGGTCCGGCTCTCACTGGGCAGGTGGGGACCTTTGAGGCGGCACCAGGAGAGAGCCCTTCTGCCCCCTGAACCCCTAGCAGCCTCCCCAACCCCTGCACATGCCGGAACCTGCACAACCCCTGCACATGCTCAGAAGCCTGTCACACTCCTGGGCTCAGCCCAGGGGTTCACCCGGCAGCCGCCTGCGTCCCCCATCCCCCGGGATGGACCAGCCTCCAGCTGGGCGGCAGCCTCCCTCCCTCCTGCAGCCCCTCCTCACCTGGGCCTCCCTCCTGGCATCGGGCGATGCCCAGGGACCTGTGGGTGTCGGGACTCTGCCCCTTCCCCGCCAGGACAGGTCTGGCCTTCCTGCCTGTTGCCCTCTTCTCATGAGACAGGGTGGTCCCTGGCAGCCTCGCCCCACACTCACCGGAGCCGTCCTGTGGGTTTGGGCGTCCAGCCTCACATCTGAGGCTTGCAGGGCGGGGCTCCCCGGTGTACCCCAGCCTGGTGGGGGGTGCAGCCAGACTCCCAGGCTTGCCTGCAGATCAGCCACTGGCCTGGCTCTCACCCCAGGCCGGGGGCTTAGAGTATTCCCACCCCCACCCCCTAAGAGGCTTTTCCTGGGAGGGGTGAAGGGACAGGGGGCCCCAGGCCTGCCGGGGAGCTTTGGACAGATGAGGCTCCACCTTCTGGGGCCCCAGGACACACAGAGCCCTGTTCTGGTGGTGGTGGGGGTCCTGCTGGTGCTGGGGGCACAGCCCTGTCCTGGAGAGACATCCCCCCAGGCCCCAATCACCTCAATGCCTCGTGTGCCCCCCACCCCAGGCCACATTCCAGGAAGGGCCTCTGTGCCTTCCCCTGGACAAGGCTAATCCAGGAGAGCCTGGGACAGGGGGTGGGAGGGGGGGGGCAGGGAGGGCAGAACAAAGGGCGCTGTGTCCCAGGCCACCGATGGGCCCTGACCTCGGCCACTGCCACCCGCTGCCCCTGGAGAGGCAGCTATTTCCTGAGGCTGGAGATGGAGGGGAGGGCTTCAGGGGGGACCTAAAGGCGTGTGCAAATGAGGGCTGTGAAGGGATAAGAGGGGGTGAGGCCTCCCAGGCACCTGCCGGTGACCCCATTCTCCAGTGGGAGGTCTCCATGCCCACCTGCCCAGCCCCCAGACCAGAGAGCACCAGTCCTGCTGCCTGTCCACTTGCTTTATTTCTCATTGTTTACAAAAGTTAAAAGGGGACAAGTGTGGGCGGGCGGGGGAGGGTGTGTAAGGGGCTCCTCCCCACTGGGGTGGAGAAGGGGAAAGAGGATGGGGGCGTGAGGCAGGCCCCCAGGGAGAGTCCTGGGGCCCCTGGAGGGGAAGAAGTGGTGCTGTCCCCATTCCGCCTGCTTTATTTTCAAGGCCCCAGACCCCATGCCAGGGCCCTCGGAGCTGCTCAGGCTGGGGGCTTGGTCAGGGGAAGGGTGCCCCCCACCAGGATCAGGGCCCGGGCGTCTCGGATCCACGGCTGCTGCTGCTGCTGCCGCCAGCTCTGGGCAGCTCCTGGGCAGGTGGCGGGGCGACCTCAGACCCGATGGAGGAAGGCCCTCAGCGGATGAGGGGCGCCGAGCGGTCATTGGTGACAGTGGGCCGCAGCTTTACGGTGGCAAAGGGGTTAGTGCCCCTGTGGGGGGAGAGGTCAGAGAGAGGTCTCCAGCTGGCTGTGGGTCCAGGGAAGGCAGCTGGACACCTGAGCCGTGTCCACCCTGCCTCCTGTCCCCGTCACCCGCACTCACCC